CTGTGGGGCCCAGGGAGCACAGAGTAGAAATGAAGGCAGGTGAGGGGAGAGCTGTTCTTTACCTCACATATGTAGTAAAATGAAGTCTGCATGGATGAAATCCATAATAACTTAAAATGTAAAAAAATGTAGAAAAATATTAATATTTATTTCATTATGTAATAAAGAAATAAGCAAAGGTCAAAATGCTGGGTTCAGTAGGGGAATGAAAATTATATACATGTTATGTACATATAATGTATAATTATATAGATGTAATTATATGATACATAATAATTATTATATTATCATGTATATAATTACATATGAAGATTCCAAGATACTAGTGGAATGTTCAAAGTGATAATATACAAACTATATAAAATAAATATAATAGTATGTAAAACAACAATATCTATATTGGATTAAATATCTTACAATAAAGTCAGGACTAATTGAAATCTATAAAATTGAGGAAAGTTTAAAAGTAGACAAAAATATAACCAGGCACTTTGCAGAATAAGTGAAAATGCTCAATAAACATTTAATAACCTTTGATTTAGTTTTTACTAGAGGGAGTGAAAAGCAAACAGCAGTGACATGGTGATTTCACTCATCAAACTGAAAAATATAGATGTTTCTCAAAATAGAATGCTATTAAAGGTTTGTGGCTATGAATCTTCTCTGGACTATAGAGACAGACTTTTCAGAATTAGAGGGGTAGAGTATAAATGTATATTAATTTTTCTGCATTTTAAAAATATGTAAATATGTGTGGGAGTGCCTGGGTGGCTCAGTTGGTTAAGCATCTGAATCTTGATTTCAGCTCAGGTCATGATCTCAGGTCATGAAGTTGAGCTCCATGTTGGGCTCCACACTCAGTGGGGAGCCTGCTTGAGATGTGATTAAATTAAGGATCTTGAGATGAAGAGAATATCTTAGATTATCTATGTGGGACAAGTCTCAAAGAAAGTTAGTGTCAGAGGGAAGGGATATGAGAAAGACTTGAATAAAGATCATCTTTGTCAATGAGAGGACATTATGACACGAATATATAAATTCTTAACAATAGTAATTTATAAACTCAATGCAATACGAATAAAGGCCCACCAACATATGTGTATGTATGTGGGGGTGTTACATGTTTTGTATCCAAAAATGTTGAATCCCCCATACTAGAGTTAAATGCATAGTAGTTACACCTAGATGAAATTTAGTTTGAGTATGTCACTGGGTTTCCCATTGCCTTCCTAGGCTCAGGGTGTGGCAGTTTCCAGGGGAATTCAGACCCACTGTAAGATGCCTACTGGTTGTCAGAAACCCATCATTTACCCCTATTCTGTTTAATAGATTTCCATCCACAAAAACAAGTGACCGTAGGCTCTGGCAGCAACTCAGAGGATTCTAAAGCTGTTCCTATGAGAAAAGAGGTTTCTGACTGTGGATATGATGGCTGCCTGCTTGCATTCCCCCTGTAGATGCTCTTGTAAAAATGGTTTCCTTTTCATTGTGGAATACTTATGGGCACTGCATCCCATATTACAGCGTTTCTCCAACATTGTCCAAAACCTTATCAGAATTTCATGTCTCAATATTATTTTGTGTCCTTCAGTCCCAGGGGCCATCTAAATGAACACCCAGTAGCAAGCTAGTAACTATCTCAGATGGTATATATCATACCCCAGCACCCCAAAATTTTCTGATCCCAAATCTTAGTGGTCACCACTAGGTGACACTCAAAGGCTTTTGCCATTAATTCCAATTTGCATTACTATGCATTGCAACCATTCCCAAAATCATTTCTGAATGGATCACAGGGGTCCAAGGACAGACAGACAGAGATTGAGAGACACTACTTTTTATAAACCAGAAATGACCTGTCATTATTGGGTCCTAATTCAAATATGGACTCCTTTGGGAAACAGTTTCATGGCTAGGAGTTAGCAATATTCCCAGATGTAGAATATGCATCTTCCCCAGTACAAATAGACCAAACAGTGGACTTCTTGTTTAGTTCTAGGGGTAGGTAAAGATATCAGTTTCTTTTTAGTCATCCGTGAATCATCATGGGTGGCTTCTGCCCAGAATATTCCTAACAATTTCACCATTTGGGCAAGTCCCTAGATCTTTTGGATTTAACGAGTCTCTTGGTGCCACTAATGCATTTAGGTCAGTTCCACCTAGCTTATTCTTCAGTTTCTGAAATTCTTATATCACCAGTATAGCGTATTATTACACTCAGGACCTATATTAAAGCCAAATCCCTTCTAACCAAATTGAGACAGCTAACTGGTGAATTCAAGTAATTGTGGCAATGGAGCAAACGTAAACTATGATCCTTCTTACATGAAACTAAACTGTAGTTAGCTCTTTTCTGAGATAAGGCTGAGAAAAGAAACATTTGCACAATCAGTGAGGACCAGTCTCTTTTAGCCTGCTGAAATTCTTGCCCTGTTGGAATCATGTGGGGGACTGCTGATGCTATGGGTGGCATTGCTTTATTTAAGCTTCAGTAGTCTGTTGTTCGTCTCCATGAGCCATCTACTTTTTTCATGGGTCATACAGGGCTATTGTACAGAGAATTTGTTGGTACCAGCATGCCAGCTTCACACATGTCACCAGGATAGTCTGTGCTGCTTCATTCTTCACCCTGATTAATTTAGCAGACTATGGTCCCATGGTCCCTGGTGATTCAAGGTAAGGTCAGGTTTCTCATCGTCATCTTTATTTTCTAGCTGGTGGGTTGAGTTTAATGAACTCTTCTTCCAAAAGTAAAGTTCACAACGGTCCCAGCGTGGCTCGTGGCCACTTAGCCTCATCACCTTTCCACCTTTCTCCACCATGTTCAAGTTAGAAACAGACTGGATTTTACTAAACTCTGCACCAACAAATCCTACCACCCACAGCTTTTTCCTCCTCCCATTAGAAGATGACCTGTAATGGCAGCTGCCCCTCAGTGCCACCACATTTCTTTCTGCGTGTTTGCTTCCTGTAGGGTTGTGTTTCCCACACATGTAGGGATAAAATTTAGCATTGTTAACCTTAAAAATAAAAACTGCTGGTTATTTTACAACAAAAGATGGGTTTATTTGAGAATAAAAGAGAATTGCAATCTGGGACAAACAAGCTACTGCAAAACCCTAAGCAAGAATGGGGAACAAAGGAGAGATTTGTTTGTTTGTTTGTTTTTAAGATATGCTTTTTAAGGAGAAAAGGGTTAAGTTGGAAAGGCCATAACAAACTAACAGCCCATTGGTGTCAACTGGGAGTTCAAAGTATGGCAGCTTTTCATTGGCTGAGCTGTTGCCCAGATTGGGGGGATTAGAGTAGTAGAGTGGTATCCAAGTGCAAGGTCAAGTCCGTCTTTTCCTATTGGGTCTGCAATTGATCAGGAGGGGTAGGGCATGAGAGCTCCCCCTGCCAAAAGTTCCTAACTCCATTTTAGTGAGGTTTCTCATTATTAATTTTCACAGCATCTAAACAAAGCACAGCTTTGGCTGTTGTCTAATGGATGAGATTTCTGCTAGCCAAATAGATGTTGTAACCTAGTCTTAAAACCCACAGTATGTTCCTTCTCAAATTTCTGTCAGTTTGCTACAGTAGGCAGACCCTTTATCACCTCACTCTGTTTGGGGACCTCCAGGAAACACCTTACATTAACTTCATTAATTCCATCAGTTGATGAGTTGGTTGGTAAAGGAATAATTGACCACCCACCCCATCCCACAGGCAGTAAGTGTCTGTGAACATCCTGGGTGAGGGTACCAACTGCAGGTATTGGGACACAAGGATGGCCCAAAGTGGGAAGAGCCTGTCTGGCTTGTGCTTGTTTTCACGTTAGAAGAACTTCTGAGGGCTTGCTTCTCATGGTCAGCTTTTATTCCCTGTCATGCCCCCTGACAAGCTCTACACATTTGAGGGTGACACCCACCTCTCCATTCTTTGTTGTAAAAATGGTTTCCTTTTCATTGTGGAATACTTATGGGCACTGCGTCCCATATTACAGCGTTTCTCCAACATTGTCCAAAACCTTATCAGAATTTCATGTCTCAATATTATTTTGTGTCCTTCAGTCCCAGGGGCCATCTTAACTAACACCCAGTAGCAAGCTAGTAACTATCTCAGATGGTATATATCATACCCCAGCATCCAAAAATTTCACTAGGACCCAGGCCAGGAGTATGTTTTCCACCCTCTCTTCACACCTGGAGGTGACAAAAAAGGAAGAGAAGGGGAGCAAAGGAGAGGAGAGAACACAGAAGGGGTGGAGGTGGGGAAAAGAAGAGGAGGGAAGGAGAGAAAACAGACTGGGTGGAGTGTGGCTGCGAAGGTGAGTGGCACATCAGCTAGTGTGCTCCGCTGGCCCAGTTTGCCCGGGACTTTCCCAGTTTTAGGACGAAAAGTCCTGTTTCTCAGGAACCTGGTCAGGCCAGGGAAAAGCAGGACAGCTGGTTGCCTGAGCTGCGGCAATTACAGGAGAGCCTGTGTGACCCAGCAGAATCTGGCGGAAGTAAGAGTCTGTCATTTCTGAGGTTAGGTTATGAAAGATAATGGATTCCCCCGAGATCCCCTCTTTCTTTCCTGAGCCCCTTGCCCTGGGGGAAGCCAGCTGCCCTGTTGTAAGCAGGTCCAAGGAGAGGCTTCGTCCCGACGATCACCTGAGTGATCACATTCCAGTTTCCACCGCTTGCAAGACACACATCTCCACCTGCTCGCACCAAAAGATTTTGAATTTAGCCATTTAGCCATTCTCAACTTGTTGAGGATACCTCCGCCTCTAATACAAGCGGCCCTCATAACTCTACTCTTTTACTTTAAATTTATAAACATTAACTTGGAACAGGCAGGAAGCAGCTCTCCCCCACCGCGATCACAAGGCTGAGAAACAAGCACAGCCGGAAGGGACGAACAGACCCACAAGCTCGCCCCGCCCCCACGCGCGCTTCCGGCCCAGTCTCGACCATTCCTGGCGGCCCTGCCCAAGCCCCGCCCCCCGTAACCTCCTCTCGCGTCTGCGCGTGTGCAGTTGCCGGCAGACCCGGAAGTGAATTGGGCTGAGCGACAGGAACGTTCGGGTGAGTGAATTCCGGATGGTCAGTTTCAAGCCCGCCGCGCTCCGCGGCCCCACAGCCTCCAGCCGTCCACACTGGGGCCCTCTGGAGGTTACAGCGGCGGCCCTCGCCTTCCTGCCCACGATGAGTCCCGGCGTCGCCGTGAGACGTGCCGAGGCCTGGTAGCGCCGGGTCGCGGCGTCCTTGTGGAGACCGCCTCGGTTCGTGGAGACCGCCGCTTCCGGTGCCTCCCTGCCCTCGCATTCCTCCGTCCCGGATCCAGGGGGGCGGGGCCCCGTTGTGTGCGGCGCTTGCCGAGGGCCGGTGCGGCCGCAGAGCGCGTGGGCTTCACAGCCGGGCAGGGAGTTGCGAGGAAAAGGGGAGACTCCGCCTCGCCGGCCTGTCTCTGTTCACGGGCCCTCCCGGGGCAGTGGGCGGCGGAGGAGTGTCTTTCCGCGTGTTGAGGTCCTCCCTCTGTGTGTGGTTGTGTCCCGGGAAGGGGGATGTGCATTCTAGGCATTAAACAGCCCGTGTTCAGCCCTCACCGTCCACTTGTCAAGACTGATCTTATCCGAGAAGTAAGTCCAGGAGAAGAGGAAAGGAAGAGGAGGCCAAAATGTCGCGTTCCCAGGTAAAATTCACATTCTTGGTTGTTGCTTCTCTCTTTCCTGAAATGCTGGGTTTTTGGACTTGGTGATGTACTCTCAAGCACTCAAGGGTCCTGCCTAACGTTTGCTGGAACTCACCCCGGCCTCGCCTCAGTGCCTCGCATCTCCACTTACAGTCCATCTCACCATGACCCAGAGGCATGGAACCTGGGAAGAGGCCCTGTTGGGGGATTTTCTTGGGGAGGGTTTCATACTCTGGTGTGAATCAGAAACTGGGGGTGGGACTTTGGTGTCAGTGAGGTTGGCAAAGGGGATTGTTTTAGGAGTTGCATGTGAATGCACGGTCAGTTCGTTGTAGAGCAGCATTAAGAAGAACTGCATTAAGAAAAACAGCATTAAGGGGCGCCTGGGGGGCTCAGTCGGTTAAGCGACTGCCTTCGGCTCAGGTCATGATCCTGGAGTCCCGGGATCGAGTCCCGCATCGGGCTCCCTGCTCGGCAGGGAGTCTGCTTCTCCCTCTGACCCTCCCCCCTCTCATGCTCTCTCTCTCTCAAATAAATAAATAAAATCTTAAAAAAAAAAAAAACAAAACAAAACCAGAAGACCTATCGGGTGCCTGGGTGGCTCAGTTGGTTAGGCGACTGCCTTCGGCTCAGGTCGTGATCCTGGAGTCCCGGGATCGAGTCCCGCATCGGGCTCCCTGCTCGGCGGGGAGTCTGCTTCTCCCTCTGACCCTCCTCCCTCTCATGCTCTCTGTCTCTCATTCTCTCGGTCTCAAATAAATAAATAAAATCTTTTAAAAAAAGGAAAAAAAGAAAAAAAAGAAAAACAGCATTAAGCGAAATAAGTCACGCAGAGAAAGACAAATATCACATGGTTTCACTCATATGTGGAATTTAAGAAATAAAACAGATGAACATATGGGAAGGGGAAAAACAAAGAGAGAAGGAAACAAACCATAAAAGACTCTTAATGATAGAAAACAAACTTAGGGGTGATGGAGGGAGGTAGGTGGGTGATGGGTATTTAGGAGGGCACTTGTCCCGTTGAGCACTGGGTGTTACATGTAAGCGGTGAATCACTAAATTCTCCTGAAAACAATATTACACTACATGTAAACTAACTAGAACTTAAATACAAATTTGAAAAAAAAAAGGAAAAAAAAAAAAGAACTGCACAATAATGAGCCATATTAATGTGCAGGAACAGCTGGAAAATAAGACTGAGAAGGGAAAACCTATTGTCCCTGATTTTACAAGGCATTTGAAGCTAAACAAGTGAATCAGCATGTTTCTGTCTCTAAAATATTAATGATTTGGATTACAGTGGGAAGTTCTGAAACATATCAATGATAAAGGATGTTTTATTGTATAATTTGTTTTAACAGTACGTTCTTTAATATCACTCACAGCGTATCCATCCCATGAAGACCCTTGTTCATTCAGGGACTTTTGTGTAGCAGGTGTTTTACCTAAAAATGTTTCAGCCATTACACTGGAGCAAAAAATTAGTCTTTGTCATCAGAGTGGATGGAACCAAATTCTGTTTCCACCAATTGTTACTAAAATATTACTTTTTTTTTTTTAAGATTTTATTTATTTATTTGACAGAGAGAGACACAGTGAGAGAGGGAACACAAGCAGGGGGAGCAGGAGAGGGAGAAGTAGGCTTCCCACTGAGCAGAGAGCCCGATGCGGGGCTCGATCCCAGGACCCTGGGATCATGACCTGAGCCGAAGGGAGACGCTGAACGACTGAGCCACCTAGGTGCCCCTGTTTTAAACATTACATGCCATGTATCTTTGTTTTGAGGTCAGACTCCACAAACAGTGTTGCACATTTTGGACTAAGAAGTAAAACATCTCCTTCCCTGTCATGCCCTCCATCATCACTCACCACCTTTGTAATCACTATTGCCTGTTCTGTGGAAGATTAAGTGTATGTCTTATAAAAATGCATTTGCCTGTCATTAGCAGATTTTAGTTAAAATTCTTCATTGAATGTTATATTGTGATATTTTATTCTGTATACATATCTTGGAGTTGTTTTTGTGCTAATACACATAGAGATAGCTTGTTCTTTTAGATCCTCATTAAAACATTCTCTGGATGAAGACACATGGATCCCACGTGGTTCACAATGTCCAGGCATTGTGTGCAGTGATGAATAGCAGGAGTCCTGGCCATCATCCCTTGTGTCAGCCTCAGTTTTCGTGGAAATGCTTCTGTTGTTTACTGTCAATCATGATGTTTACTGGAATTTCCTTACTTGATGCCTCTAATTTTTTTTTTAGCATGATTTTTAGTTATCCAATAATTTCTTAAAAGATTAATGCTTTCATTTTTTTCTATTTTAATTTATTAAATAATGTAGAATATTAATAAATTTTATAATCTTCAAGCATTGTTTTATTATTGGATAAACTCCACTTGGCTTATGTTTAAATGGACATTTAAATGGACAAAATTTTGATATTTACATACAGGTGTTTAGTGGAAAAGGTAAAGTTTTCTATTTTCATTTTTGTATTTTTTTAACTGGGCTAGTACAGAGTAATGTTGACAACAACCTAATTAAAAATAAGTACAATTTCAGGGGCGCCTGGGTGGCTCAGTCGTTAAGCGTCTGCCTTCAGCTCAGGTCATGATCCCAGGGTCCTGGGATCGAGCCCTGCATCAGGCTCCCCGCTCGGCGGGAAGCCTGCTTCTCCCTCTCCCACTCCCCCTGCTTGTGTTCGCTCTCTCACTGTGTCTCTCTCTGTCAAATAAATAAATAAAATCTTTAAAGAAAAAAAAGGTACAATTTCTAAATGTCCGTTTTACCAAAAATACTGAAATACACGAGTAAAAAAAAAGATATATTTAAAAAAAATTCATCCCAAAAATCTGTCTGAAAGGACTACTTTTACTGAAATTGTGTTTATGTGTGTGTGGGTGTATGCGAGCAGAAGCCTATGGTGTGTATAAAAGATGCATTGTTTCATAAATAACTTTTATATTTATTTTAAGCTTTGAAAATTGTTCTTACGAATTTTTCGTGGCCTTAAATTTTTTTCTATACTAACTCATTAGTGAATTAATAGTGGTAACAATAATAAAATACTACATATATGCATAGATAATGACATTTTCTGCAGGTCCCTGTTTTTAGCTTTGAACTTGTTTCATGTTTTCTCACTTAGGAAACCCGTTAAAAGTAGAGAACTACTTTTAACACTGTATCTGTCACTTAACTGTGTGATTCTTCAGGTTCAATTCTAAGTTCAGAACACCTGGTTGAGGTGCCGGCTCTGCCATTTCTTAGTTATCTGACCCGAGGCTAGTTTCTTAGAGTCTCTGTGACAGTTGCCTCCTCTATAAGGTGGACACAGATATTTCTCTAATATTATTACACAAAATAATACGCATTTGAGTAATGTTTAGCACATCATGAATGTTTAAAAACTTTTTGTTTCTGCCATTATAATCGTCATCACATTCTTACATTTTAAGCTTTCTTAAAAGGCATTGTCAACTTTGTAATCTTTAAAGACACTACTCAGTGTAGCTCATCAGAGAATAATTGGTGTGTAAAATGTATTATCTAGCACTTCTATATAGTCCGTCTTGTGATGCATTTTTTATTTATATATTTTGTTGTTCACAAAATTGTGGAATGCACAGTGATTTTGTGGATTTATGTATTCTGGTTGAGAAGTATAATAACACAAAATTAGGGATATATGATTTGCTCAAAATTACCTTATACTGATTTTTCACCACAGCCAAATCAGTCCTTACACCGCTCTCCTATAATTTGTGTGAAGATAAGAATTCTCCCTGTGGTCTCTTAGTTTAATGTGTTTTTCGTTACAGGTGCTGTTGACCTTCAGGGATGTGGCCATAGAATTCTCTCAGGAGGAGTGGGAGTGCCTGGACCCTGCTCAGAGGGCCTTGTACAAGGACGTGATGTTGGAGAACTATAGGAACCTGGTCTCCCTGGGTGAGGATAATGTCCCTCTAAATGTTGGGATCTGCCCTAGTGAGTTTCTTGGGGGCCCCTGCCCTACTAGACTGTGATTGAAGCTATATTGACTCTGAATTGAAAGCTTCATGAGGTGGCACCTGGACTTTCATCTCCTTTCTTCAGACGATCTGCCCACTCCTCACTAGATTAGTGTTGCTTTTTCCACTTGAGTAATCACAAAACCTTGTAGCAAAATTTTAAAGTATTGGATTCCCTGGTTTTACTCTCCTGCATTTGAGTCAGTAATTCCAGAAGAGAGCTAGATGTCTGTATATGTAAAATATTTCCTAAGCCAGTCAGTGGACGAAATTAGTGTAGACCCATCTGTAACATCTTCCGTCCTCTGCTGAACAAAGGGCTGGGATTATATTCTGGAAAAGCCCCAGCACGTAACTCTCCTTTTTTGTGAGCAGGAATCTCTCTGACCTGAACGTTATCTCCATTTTGGAGCAAGGGACAGAGCCGAGGGCTGTGGAGGGTGAGGTGAAAATAGAGAAAAAACCAAGTGGGTGGGACTATATCAAAGATGTGAACACTGGTAACAGCTGAGATGGTCAGAGATGAAACTGCTTCATCAAATATTGTTTGAGAAACATTCCCCAAAGAGGAGAGGTCTAGGAGAAAAGAAAAGTACTTGTGAGCACTCAAAGGAAATCTCCCCCATTACTCTGTTCTGCAGACATGACATTCCAGTGGCAGTCTTTATCATGACCTGCAACACTGTTATCTGGCTGCTGTGACCTTTTTGATCCCTTGGCTTTGAGAGGGATGAGAAGGGCTGTTTCATAGGGGTCCTCTTTTCCTCTGGTCTCTCCTTCCATACTTGATGCCATCTGATTCCAGCTGATCCATCAGTTCCTCCACAGTCCTGACTCCAGGACCTGTCCGGGTTTCATCCTCAGTTCCTGTGTTTGGGAGATAGGAAAACATTGGCTCCTCCTCCATTGCACTTGGGGCCCTAAGGCTGCATGGGATTGTCTCAAGGCCTCCTAGCCATTTTGTCAGGCCTGCTTTTGGCACACATCAAGAGTATAACCAGGCAATGGGGTGGATCTTCTGAGATGGGTAGTCAGCAGTACTCTACAGACAGTGGACAGAGAGGTTGTCTCCTGGAAACCCAGTCCTACATCTCTTGGTTTTCTCAAAGACCCTGCAAAATCGAACCCCATTGCTTTACTTCTGTTATCTTGCCTTATTCTCCTTCCTGCGCTCTGCCTAGGCTAGTGATGCAGACAAAATTTGGCTCGGACAGGTTTTATATTTTCCTAAGTCTGCAATTTTGCTTTTGAAACATGTTTTCCTAGGGTCTGAAATATCCTCTTTTTCTGCTGTGATAACCCACTTTTAGTTGACGGACAACTTCTGGTGGACTTATCTGTGGAGGGGGTTTATTGGGTAACAAAATTTTTGAAGAACACTTTGATTAATGTACTACAGTGCTGTCCTGCCACTTACAGAAGTGCCCAGTTAAGCCACTGAGTGGCGTGGTCAGCAAGTCCGAGGGAGGCTGAGATAGAAAGTATCAGGAGAGTCTGACTGATGAGTGATTGTAGTTCTCTTTCTGCTCTTTGTGGAGTGTCACAGAGTCTCTCAAGGGCAGTGTGGCAATGTTGATCAAATACCTAAGGATTATTCCCTTTGAGCCAGCAATCATAGATGTACGAACTTATCCCAAGGAGAACATTGTTGCAATCGTTTATCTGTGAGGCTTTGACCAAATTGTGGTTTGTGCCAAATTGTTCACCCACTGCATGCAACAGTGTTCTTTCCTCCAAACAAATATGATTGTGATGCATATGAGGGAACTTACGAAGTTAAATGATGCTTCTTTTTTCTTTTTTTTTTTTTTTTAATTCCAGGATAGTTAACATACAGTGTTATATTAGTTTCAGGTGTACAATATTATGCCTCCATTTTTAAATTCTAATTTGTTATGTTTAAACTCCTACAGTTTTCATCATGTACATTTCCATGAATTAAAAATGAACTTTAAAAAATTTAATCATTAATTACATATTTTTGATGACACTCAGAATTCTGTTTTATAGCTCTGGTTTGTGGGCTGCTGGATCAAGGAGTAAATATTTTAAAATATATATTACAAGATTTGCTTCTTGAGTGTTGATGGTTATGGCTCAGCAACAGTTTCCCCAAAACCTATTCAAACTCCTGAATTTTGTGAAAAAATTATCTTAGTCCCTTTGTTTCTCTTTCACATGATTTACCTATTATTAAAGTAGCTCTTTCTCAGATTGATTGGATTTGTAAAATTGGGAGTATTGGATATCTTTTTTTTTTTTTTAAGATTTTATTTATTTATTTGAAAGAGAGAGAAACAGCATGAGAGGGGAGAGGGTCAGAGGGAGAAGCAGGCTCCCTGCTGAGCCAGGAGCCCGATGTGGGACTCGATCCCAGGACTCTAGGATCATGACCTGAGCCGAAGGCAGTCGCTTAACCAACTGAGCCACCCAGGCGCCTGGGAATATTGGGTATCTTGATAAAATATTTTTTTAATTAAATTACTGTGTTCATCCCAGAAATCATTAAATTGATTTGCCATAATTTGTTATATAGGATATCTTGCTTTTTCTATAGTATATTTTAAGTTTTCTAAATATAACTTCTTGGATTTTATTTGAATTTTACTGACTTTTTGTATTTTGGTACAAAATCCTTTATTCTAATAATTAATTTCCCTGTCTAGATTCATCATGTACACATCTTGGTATACTAAACTAGTATTTGACGTTCTCACTGTATTTTATTGGGAAGTTAGATAATCTCTTCCACTCCATGTACATCCTCACCACTATTGCTTATAACTCGTTGTGTTTTCCACAAAATTTTTCATGTTCTGGAAATTACATTCTTCAGTTAACACTTGAAGTCTGTTTTGATCTTCATCTTTTAAACTGGGTTCCATAAAAAGTTCACCTGGTCCTTGTTGACCCACATGTCAGTACTCTCCTGCTCTCTGACCACAGCCAACTCCTTATGTTACTGGCCATCTCTGTGCACATCTAACTCCTGCATGGCACTGCCAGAAGCTGCTCCTGCAGTCCCCTTCTGCTAACACTGCCCTTCAGTAAAATCCATTCCTCACTGTGTGTCATTAAGTTATTTTCCCTTTGAGGTTGCCTATGTTGTGGTGATAGTTAACAAAGTCAGAATTTATTGATTTTGGATAAGTACACATAACTTCCATTGATCCACAATAATGACTATATATCCACTTATATATGGTAAGACCGTCCCTCACCTCATGTCTCCTTATGCCAGCAATTGTGTGGAGAGATCCAAATATATGAGTTCAGATAATTAGAGGAGGCTGCAAGAGAAGCTCTATTATTATTTTTTTAAAGATTTATTTATTTGAGAGAGAGAAAGGAAGAGAGAGCATGAGCAGGAGGGGCAGAGGGAGAGGAAGACTCTCAAGCAGACTCTGCAGTGAGCATGGAGCCCGACGTGCAGCTCAATCCCAGGATCCTGATATCATGACTTGAGCTGAAACCAAGAGTTGGATGCTTAACCAGCTGTGCCACCCGGGCACCCCAAGAAGCACTATCATTTTTATATAACAAACAAGGACACTTAGCCTCAAAAAGGTTAGCACGCCAAATTGGTAAATTTCTATTTATAAAACATTATGTAATTAATAATTTGGTTGGTATGTTATTTCTTTTTAGCTAATCTATCCACATCTCCCCCAAAGTTCAGACCTTGACAAAACCTGCTAACTTTGTTTCCCTCCACCAAACTCTTTGTCCTCCCCACCAGGGATTCATCATCTTGCATCCATGTCACTCTCCATTGCTGAATTCTTGACAGACTTTAATGGCATCTGTATGTGTATGTAGAGTGAGTTCATCCATTCTCCCCTTGATGGCCATGTCCAGACTTTTGCTTGCCTTTTAAGAACACTTTTTACATGTCTCATGGAATATATATGTAGGACTCTCTTGAGTAAATGCTTATAAATAGAAAGCCAAGGATATCCCATTTGAGAAATTTCAGGGAAGATGTTAGAATAGAGGTAAACCTGTATTCCTTCCACCGTATCATGCTAATTGCCTTCCTCATCGCTTCCATTCTCTCCCGTCCCCCCTCACCCATAGTACATTTCCCACAGAATGGGTCAGTATTGTGCCACTTGCCCAGTTCATGTCTTCTAAGATAAAGATTTTTACGCCCTAGTGCAATTGTATTCCCATAAATTTGCAAGCACAGGCTCTGTTCTTCCACCTTCCCTCATATTCTTCATTGATCTGGATGAAGCACACTGTTTTCTCCTTAGCATATTAATTTTGAGCCCTTGGACCCCCCAGTCTCCTCAGCGCCCCCTATCCTTACCCCTTCTGCATTTTATAAAGATCCCTACTCTTCCAGAGGACAGCTAGTTCAGGATAGCACCATGCCTGGTTACTGTCTAAATCAACACATTCAGGAAGTGATGACTCAGATGCTCTTATCCAGGTGGGATGAGTCAGTAATGATATTAGTAACACAACTCAATTCCTGTAGTTTTCTTGAAGCATTTCCCTGTATGCTGGTGGGGTTTGCTATGACCTTTGCTCACTTCCTGAGTGGGTAGTAATGTTTAGTGCTCAAGAACATGTGGTCTGAGCCTGCAGGCCCAGGTTCAAATTTTGGCTTTCACATTTTTTTCTGTGTGAATTAGTGTTGGGTACGTAAACACGATGGGCCCGTTGTTTTTATCTGAAATATGATGATGTGTCTTGAGAATATTTTAAATATGTTAATGCTGTTAGATTTTGAACATTGTATAACATATAGCAAGTTCTGGAAATTTACCTTTCTTTACTAATACTTCTTGACCTCCTCCTATGTTTAATATGTGATTGACCTTTGCCTACATTATATTATGTTTGTATTCATTTTATAATTTGTTTCATCTCAATATTGTTTGTCTTAGTAAATTTTCAAGGCACATACTCTGTAGTATATGTATTCTGTGA